TGGGCGCACCTAGATGGCGCCTGCAACAATATTTGGTTTAGGGACTCATCAGTTTTTAATTAAAATCCCTGTACATCAATCAACATGGGTCAGCATATAAACCAGAAGATTTTGGTTTTAAAAAATTACAATTCAATTGATTTTACTTTTTTAAATATAGAAAATAAAGCAGTTTCCACCTCTTTTTGAGCAACACAGCTTCTCAAATCAATAAGGCCCCCAAAGCAGGCTGATTAGGTAGTTCTAGTTTTCAAGACTTTCTATAAATTTTTTGCTGGTAACAATCAATATTATACTCACATTGGAAAATTATATATTTTTGCTGATTTGGGTGGAAAAACTAGAAGTGTAGAAAAATTTCCCTGGTGTTCATATATGTAATGAGGTGAAATAATTCATAAGGGAGGGGACCCTAAAACATTAAAGGCTGCACCAGTTTCCCTGTTTTGTTTTAGCATTACTTTCACTCTATTATTTTTATCCATAAATTAACAAGATTGGAGAAAATCCATACAATCTTTATAGAAAGTGAATCCCTAATGAATTTCAAGTACTTACCAGCAGTACAAAAAGTATTCTCTTCATTGCTGTAGGCCACTGTAATTTCTCTTTCCTTATTGCGAAAATATTGTGCGTAATTATTGTTACACATCCAGGAATGACCTTCTGCATGCGGAATCAACACTTTGAACGCAAACACCACGATTTTTCACAGCATTTCGCATCTTCTGAGGAAACTCGTTTTGAAATTTGAAAGTTTCCAAACTTTTTTCTACGTCATGATGAGATAAATCGGAGCTAAAGTTCATATTTTATTCCATTTCTATGATTTAGTTGAAATTTAAAAATATTCCAGTGCTTTGTTGGATATAAATTGCAGTTTTGCTGGGGTCAGTGTGCCAGCCTGCGTTCACTGGAGCAGTGCAGCAGCGTCAGCCAATACTTTTTAGAACAGTGTAGGGCTGTAGGTCATTCGCGCGCAAAAAAAAAATGGCAAAAGCCTTGAACCGCAGTTACATGGAAAATGATAACGGTATAGGAATGAGTGATTTCAAACTCACTGTATGCAGCATCAGCATGACGTTGTTTGTCACCTGTGCTGGGTAAACAGAATATAGAGTGCAGAATAGAGTTCTGAGACTTTTGAAATTCAGTAACATAAACGTATATCATAACAAAACCACTTTCAAACTTTTATGTCAATCTGGAGGAATTTTTCATTATGGAGGGGTAAACTTTAAAAACAAAACAGGGATATCCTCTTAAAAGGTTCCTTTTTACATTATGTATAGACCTCCCTATACCATTCAAAGACTTTCCCTCCTCAATATAGAGACCTAAATTTCTAGAGGCCTTTGTAATAAAAATGTAACTTGATGCTTTAAAAAAAAATTGGGTGAGTGATTGGGCAATTCTATATGCCCTTTTTCTGAGTTCAGAATCCTGTCAATTCGTTCACCCAGAAGTTTATAAGGCCCAGAATATCACCCATGTTGGCATCCTGTATTTCTCAATTCTTACTGCAGGAAAAATTCTGATATTTCTGACTTCAAAACTCCCTTCGCAATCAACTTTGTTCAAAGTACCTCAAAATAATAAATATAATTCTTGAAAACATAATACAGTACTGTAATACAAATCATTGAAATGCAGGTTAAAAATTGTAACACCAACCCTCAGGAACCACAAAGTGTTCATACTGTTAGATTATCATTAACACAAATTTGCTCTTTTGTTCTTAAGTTATGTGAGATGCTTCTCATAGTTATTCAATCCTGTTTTCAAATAAACACAAAGCACCTATAAAAAAATGACAACGTGTTCCAGCATTGAGGAAAACTCATTTCACAAAAAGTACAGATTAACTTAGCAATAAAAAGTTTATACAGCACAAAAGATAATTTGTATTCCTAAAATTTGTATAAGCTCAGAAAAAGTTATTTTCACTATGCAGTACTGAAAAGTTAAATTTTGGATTAAGAGTGCGTAAATAGCATTAAATTTATATGAAAATTTTTCCTGGATCTTGTAAAAAAAATGCAACTGAAATATTTGCCTTGCAGTAATTTGCTTGATGGTTTGAAATAAAAAAGGCTTTTTGGAAGCGAAACAAGAACGGGGAACCCATTCTTCATCCGATTTTCATCATATTGTATACTTCTCATTTCTTTAAATTCTAAACTTAGTCATCATGCAGCTCGATGCGTGCATATACCCTCCCAGGTTAGTAGAGCAAGCAGCAGCAGCAAAATAATTTTTCTGCGCGTCAAAACGTGACAATTTGCAGATAAGTTTATGTGCGAGTAGTTCATACGCTTTTCGGAACTTATTTCTCATCGGACCATAAGGGAGTGCACGTACTGTATGTCGCTAATTTGTCTTTCAAGTTCGACAAAATTCTCCAATTGATTCGGCAAAAACAATGGAAACGCGGTCATCTTGGTTGAAAAAAAAACGCTTTTTAAAGTTAAAGGAACCGTCATCACAATAGGCATGCGCAGAAGAAACTGTGCCATCACTTACGAGTTTGCTTGAATATTAAGCTTGGGATAATTACTCGTTTTATGCGCTGTTCAATTTTCTTGTGTAGAACGCGAAGTACAGCAGTCGAACTTGATAATTGCGTTATCGAAAGCTATGCAACAGTTTATTTATTAATACATGTATACGCTTACTAAATATATTTTCTTAGAAGTATAGAATTTCGTTTCGCACAACTTCAAAATTTTCAGATTAATTGCTTCGATTTTTCATCAAAAAATGATTGGTCTCACGGGAAAGCTTTCTCTGACTTTCGAGGAAAATTAGCAGGATTCTCTGGATACATTTGGGATAGTTCTCAATTTTCCGGAATCTCCATTTAAAATGTACCTAAAGATAGCCGGCCCCAGTCGCGCTGAATAAACAATGCAAAGTGTCGCCGGAACGATGATTACGACCAAGAAGGCACACCTTTCGTTATACGACTACCTTTTTGTAACTACAGGTGTTTCTTCTTCACGTTTCAATTTTCGGAAAAGACCTGAATAATTTCAATGTTTGATTCCGTGTGAGATGAATTGCACAATTTTATACACAGGCGCTTCAATTCTGAGTAGACCTATAGCATGCATTACCATCAGCATACTTTACTCATCAGTGTACTGTATACTGTACTGTATAAGCTGGCAGAAATTCCGATTTTGACTGGAAGCGTCATCTGACAAGTAATATGCACAAATTCTACGGTGACGCGTAAAGTAATTTACCGTACCCGCAGCAGTACAGTTCAATATGATGCTTTAAAAACGTTTGATGCATCAAATGGTCTCAAGCATGATCTTCAAGAGAATGTGGAAATTGCTCGGGAATAAGGCTGGGATTATCAAATCTACGAATTTAATTTTTCATTGTCTATGATAGAAAATCAGTGTTGTAAGCAGCGTGATCATCACTGAATCATCGAGCAACACTGACATCATGGCTGCGCTGTTTCGCATGTGCAGGCCATCATGTACGTGCGAATCACCGCACGCGCGGTTGGAACAATCAGCTTGGGAATGCGAATAAGGTTAAGGGAGGATTGTTCTATCGCGCGTGATTGGCGCGAAGGTATGAGTAATCATGCAATCCGACGGTTGCTATATTGCCTGATTTCGTGACAAGCGTTGTGTTGAATAAATAAACGAGTGTGATGTACCGTGAAAGCCGGAGTGAGGCGGTTCCAAGGTTTAGCGAACCGCAGAGTTCGAGCGCCCGAAGTGGAGAGGAACGGATGACATGAGTCATCGCACGCTTTGAGTAATCTCGTTCATCAGCCTTTAGTTGTTGCCGTTGCCAGCTAGTAATTTTGGAGTGGTTGACCGATTGTGTCGTGATACTCGTGACAGACGTCCCAGGAGGATAATTTAAACAAATCTTGATCTCTTTGCGCCGGTCTCATCGTTCGAAGGGTGAATTTGGCCCCCCCTCGAAATTCAGCGCAGTGCACTCGCTGTCGGCGATCATTGTGACTTCGCCTAGAATCGTCGTTTTGTGGGTTTTGGTGAAGCATCAGTGCACGGCCGGAGCGCCGAAATAGGGCAAGGATGTTTACAGCCCAACCTCCGGAGCTTGACTGGACGCTGAAATGAGCTAGGTTCCGAAGTACAGTATAGCCAATCCCAAAAATAAAAAATAAAGAAAATCGCACCCAGCACACCAGAACCACCCCAGCATCTGTGTATAGGAGGTGCCCTGTCGTATACGCTTGGAAATATCAGCGTCCCTGTGCACTGTGAAGCCATCTTGTATGAAAGACCTTTCTTCAATGCATGTGTGGGAGGCTGAGGAATCACCCACGCATACATAATTCAGCTAAGGCGTCATTTTCGTGAAATGTATGTCCCTACTCCCTGCCTAGTCAAATATCTTCCCTCCGGTCTCCACTTGCCCCTACGCAATGAGGATGACGACTTCATATTCGAATATGCGTTGGGTCTACGTTTTAGTTGCATCCGGAAGAAGTGATGGTTATTCAAACATTTTCTGGCCTTGCCAAGTGGTGGTAAACGACGAAATAGTTGTGAATATTTCGTATTAGCATGTTCAATGCCGTATTAATCGAAACAGTGTGAACTCAGCGGGATTTTCGATGTTGGCGATTCTTGGTATTCCGTGTTCAGATTTTTAGCGCGAATGAATTGAGGTAAGTATTCAACTGTTATTTTTCATTCAACCGACCGTTAGAATGTATGGGGTAACATGAAAAAATGCCCCCATTGCCAATTTCTTCAACTAGATCAAATTGTGGCTCTTCGGAAGCTAGCTTCACTCTTTTGCCCGCAGAGAGAAAACACATCTGATCTTGCATGAAAATTGGTCGTGGGTGCTTTTTTGTTGTGTTTTGTCTGACTTATTATTATTTTTCCGAAATGGAACATCGTAAAGAAAGGCACAATGATGTGCAAGCCGATTTAATCCGCGATTGTAAGACATGAATCAAGATAACCTGAATTTTTTAGTTTTCGGATTGCGACATCATGACGAAGATTACCAGCAAGGCGAGATCCGTCCCATTTTTTGTTGAGGAGGCGACCCGATACCTGCGTGATCACATATCGAAGTATAGAACAGATGCACTGGATAATCTTACAGCAAGTCTGAAAAAGTCAAATGTGTTGAAGAAAGTATGGGATCCTGCCAACAGCAACTCAGGTGATTCAATATACAGTAACTCGTTGAATTTTCCGTAATTTAAACCGTCTCTGTCGGACATTCGACATAGAAAGCATGGACCAAACGATTTTATAATCTTCGTTCATGTTCTAGTTCAAGATTTCTATGCTGCAGCGAAAGGATTTTTGGGAGCAGTTGTATGGAAATGCAATGCCGTTAATACCTTTCAAGTCCCGGCCTGCGTTAATCGGAAAAGTCTCACCAAAGCGAAAGAATTACTTTCGGCTGCCAAGGAGTTGATAGAGCATGAAAGCTACGACTTAGCAATGGAATCATTGATCGGTGCACTGATGTATTTGCCTGACGCATCTCGTGTTCAGTCTTCCGAAGATTCCTGCTCTACTGTGAGTAGTTAATGATGATGCGTTCCTGATGCAATGATTATACAATCTTTGAATCATAGTTTTTTCTAAAAATATGCATTTACTGATAAATTTACGTTTTTGCCAATGTCGAGAAGTATAATTACAGTCTCGAATATTGAAAATATTCAAGTAGGCAGTTGTTACAGGACTGAAACCAGAAGGCTTCGAAAGTATATATGATGTAGGAATTATTCGGGAATTTATAGTATCAAGATTGATTTAGAAATACAGGCAATGCCTGTGAAAATGTATGCCTATGAATTTCGATTCGAGTTTACCTGATAATTTCTCTTCAACTTGATTCGGAACTTGGGTTTCAGGTGGAAAGCGTCGAAGAAATTCTGGCGGAAATTCGTCTCATTCGGGCGGGGTTGCTTTCTGACATCGATCAAGATGACAGTGCGCTGAAGGAGAGCATGCGGGGCATAGAAATCAAATTGGCGATGCTGAAGAAGCAATTTTCCTCCGTAAAATCCCTCAAATTGTGGTCTAGTATCAAACGTCATCTGGAAATGGCTGTAAAAAATCACTCAGGGATAAGCAGTGACCTGAAGAAATTCGTGTTCGAAGTTGCCGAAACCTGTGTGTCTGGTTTAGACTTGTTGAGCGCAGAAAGATTCAAGATTATGAAAGAGTTTTCGGACTTGCGTCTCCTGATGTGCTATGAGCCCTTGAACTCCGACGGTATGCAAACTTCTCTTGGGAATTTTTTGTTTATTTTTTTACCTACAGTAGTTGCGAAAAGCGTAATTATGTTATTGAAACCCGTGACTGTCGTCAGGTTCGAATTTAGTGCCGCTGCTTTCTTCAAGACTGAAAGAATAAAACAATGACCGACTATTTGGATATTTGCTATTAATTGAATACAGTACCATATTACGCAAATATTCGAACACGAACGCTGGAATTTTAGCCCGAACTGTGAAGTATTCTAGAGATTACGATTAGGTAGATTATGTGTGCATTTTTGTAGTGTCTTCATGCGTGCTTATCCAAATTGCTTTTTACACTATGTCCAGTTCTATAGAGTTCTCAAGGTCGATTGCCTTTTTCAGATTGAATGCTACGGATTTTTTGCGAAACTAAGTTGAATATTGTGCTTTCCTGTACAATACTTCATTTTAACTGATCAAAGCTGAAAGTAAGATTGGCTGTCGTGAGCTTATCTCCGTGACCCGAAAAGCTTGATTATACTACTGGACTGTATTCCATCCAAGTTTGCATTAAAGAATGTGAGGATTTCCGGATCCGCGAAAATATACTGAAATCTCACTCTGTTTTAGTCGGCGGCAATAATATCCATCAAGGAACAGGAAAACCTGACAGGAAGAATAGCAAGTTGTTATTGCCGGATGAGATCATGCGTTTCGACCCATCAAATCGAATTGAGCTCGTGGAATCGCAGCAATCATCAGCAAATGCCACGTGGGTCGCATCAGAGGTCATCAATCCAGGTGCGGAAAAGCAGGTTTTTAAATCTACATTTGTTATAACGTTCCTGAGTATGCAGTCATGAGTTGCCTTTGTAAAGTATTTAGCCATTTGTTTATATAATTCCTCTGAATTTATATAATGTATACTCATGTTTCTTCTATTGCTTTGGTGCCGCAGGAGATATTGTTTGTGTCCTTAGACCCGTGTCCTCGTGCCTCGTTTCGTCCAACTTCAGAACGAGGTGCTGGCATTGCTTTTCAGAAATCCAGCATGATTTCGCCCCGTGTTTCGATTGCGCTGACGTAAGTTACTCCTACCCGTATTCAAAATTTTTATTCTCTCGCCAGCACATTTTTGTTGAAGGAGCGTTGATATTCTGATGTTATATTTCACCTGAACGTAGCAGTGACGCTTCGACACCATTTTGCGAATGAAAACTGCGCAGAAAAAAATTGCACCCCAAATAGCCTTAAGTGCGGCCCCCTAATAACACAAACGCTTAAAGACAAACCTTCCGAGAAATCTTGTCTATATGAGACGTCTTTCTTTACTATATTAATATATGACATGACAACAGAACTTGCAAAATTTAGGTTTTTATATGTTCATCTCTTTGCATGGTAAATTGAAAGAAAAAATCGCTGGAAAGCGCTTTTGAGGACTGTATGCTTCAAAAGCGCTAGGAAAATGAGCATGAAAACATCTGTAAAGAAATCCCATATTTTCAAACTCATTCAACCGTGTGGAGTTACAATGAAACACAGGAAATGAAATCAGAAAATAATATTTTTCCTGAGCGAGAAAGTTTTTACGTACAGTATCTTGTTTCTTTTTTTAATTTGAGACAAAAATGAAGACGAAGCATCAATGTACAATATGATACTACTGTATAACCCTCGTGTTCAGTCGTCAGCAAAATTTCAACAACAAAAAAGCCTCGTGGTCGGTGGTTGTTGATTTGTTGGTGGTGCTTCTTATTCTGAGGTTAACACTATTCACACAATAGGCTAATCATGCTTTTGCCATTGTGTAGGTTTTGTTCTGTGACGAGCATTGCCGAGAAGCGGGCTATGAGATTCACAAGCTCCTCACGCTTCATGAAGGTCGCTAGTTGTCGAACAAGGTGCTGCTACTAAAGCCTCATGAGTAAATATCCAACTAGAGAAGCTTTAGTAACCTAAAGACCCTTCGGCTATCCGCCAAAAAACGAGCTCCTAACGCATGCAAACGGGTCATAGACGGTAAAATATCCATTGTAGGACTCAACCAGCGAAACGAGGTCGTCGAGGATTATCCGGACCCCCGATTAAATGAGGTAAATCCGCTGGTAAAATATAATCGGGCTTGTTTCTCTCGATTCAATTATCCTGCGACTCAGAATCCAGGTTGTTGAAGTGCATTTGAAAGTTGTTAGCTCCGTGAAATGGATGAAAGGGTCGTTGGTTTTTCTTTGGAGTCAGGGAAAGAAACACCTCGCGAGTATGAAAAAAGTTTTTTGACCTCGAGCCTTTGCCCCAAATATGTCAACCTCGATTCCTTGTACTGTACAGTACTGTAGGATAATTTAGCTCATGAACTATTTGATGAAATGCAGTGGGGCGCCGAAATGAGGACGTAATTGGTACTATAGGACCTTGACCCTATGTCAGAGCGTCCATGTCGGATCACGTTTTCCCATCGATTTTAACGGGAAAATATTTAATTGCATAATTGGTTCTCCTTTTTTTAAAATAAAAAATCAGGAATAATATCCCCAAAAAATTGAATAAAATTGCTTCCTCCGCTTCAAGATACAGAGAATAACTTTTTTTAAACTACCCAGATTGTGATCTTTTGGCATCGATCAGCAGAGAGAGATCAAGAAGCAAAGAACAAGTCTAACTATACTGAGCACACATGTTCTTTTTTTTAAATACTTTTACCGTGTTTCTATCGGATTAAAACTATTGATCAACCTTTGTAAAATACTAATTAAAAAATCTACAGTTATCGAATTAAGCAGGTTTTATCATTTTAAACCTTTTTAATAATTTTCAATTTTTCTAGAAGTGTTGGAAAAGTGTCCGTATCTCAAGATATTTTTGAGATGTTGGGCAGGTTTTCAGTCTCAAGTGTCCGCAAGTTAATCGTACGGATGTCGGGGCCCCTCGGTATTTATTGTAATTCGTCTCTATATGGTCGCGCAAAAATTCAAAATAAATTCGCATGAAATACAAGCTTAACCCGTTTGGATTTCATAGTTACAAAAGTGATAAACGCAATATGAGGCGGAAGTTGATATCAACATCCCTTTCGACCGTCCTATCATCCATCCTAGCTTCGTTCGATTCATCCACCGGTGTCTCGTATGTCGAACGAAAGAATTTTACTCGCCGGGATCGAAGCTGCTCTGCTGTATTCAATCATGGAGAAAAGTCTCGGTTTTCCGCCGTTCAATCTCGAAAATAAACTGCACATCACAACCGTTGTGTTCCACATCATGCTGTCGCAATTCCACGTCGTCGCTCATCCTTTCGAGCTTGCCCCTCAGCCGCCAAAATCGCTGGAATTGCTGTCTGAAGATGAGGAATTTCAAGCAACACATGGAAGCTTGAGAAACAAGGCGAGGAATAATCCACAGCGGCGCCCGCGAGGATTGACGCCTGTAAAAGGAAGCTCAAAGAAGCCTGACGAAAAGTCTGAAGAGAAAGAGAAAATCGTCCACTTGAAAGAAGAGAGAACGGAGCCGAAAAACAGCGAGACTAAGAATGTCGGCACTGTGGAAAATGCGAGGCAAGAACGCAAAACCAAGCCGATGTCATCGGATTCAGTTAAATGCAATAGTGGGAAAGTCAAAAATACACCTGGACTTCGTGAAATCTCTTCAAAAACAAAGAATAATGAAATAAATGCAAAACCGCAGGTCAATTCGAATACCAAAACTTCCAGCAATAATAGCCAATCCTCTCTCTCATCTGGCGGCAAAATGATCACTGAAGATTTCGAGAAAGACCTGGAAACTGTGCTTTCGAACGTGGGCAATTTTGATTTCGGCTTTGGAATCGGAAATTCGGAAGTCGTCGAATTAGTCTCGCCGAAAACTACAGCAGATGATGAAAAGGGAAAAGATTCGTTAGTAGATGACATGGAAAATTCCCCGACGTTGGTTCTGAACGACGACGGAACGCTGTCGTGTTGGTTCAGAAACAGCGCTGTTCTTTCGACAGTGAACGAAAGCTCGGGATCATTAAATGAAACCACTCGAGACGCTGAAATGGAGGGAAAATATTTGGTCTTTGACTCTGAGGAAAAAGGAACTCCATTCAGGGAGCGACAAACTTTTGAAAAAGTTGAAGTTTCCGGAGTAAACCCTCAGGACGACAGGACAGAATTTGAAAAAGTAACCTGCGAAAGTGGTTCACTGACGACAAAAATACCGTCTACCAGAAAATTTCCATCCGAAATCGGAAAAAACCCCGATGCTGTTCCGGATAAAACGTCATCTGCTGCACCTCACAGTTGTGCTGCAGAGAGATTCGATGGACTGGATTTGAAACACTTCGAGCAGCCTCTTGAACGATTGCGTAAAGGGAAAAAAGAATGCGTTAAAGGTGAGCTAAAGATGGCTTGAAATCAATTTCAGACTTTATAATCCGAATATTTTGTTTGACAGAAGATGCTTCAAGTTCAGCAGAATCGATGGACATCAGCGAGAAGCATCTGAATACAGATGATTCTGAGTTTTCTGCACATATCGATGTCGAATTGGGTCATCGGAGCACACGTAGTGAAACAGCTGGTGAGTTATTCAAAACTTCAGCAATTGGAATGTTTTCTTGTTCACCTGTACAGCACTGTTTTTTATATTAATCGGTCAATTAAACCCTTGCCTTCCACTTGAGCTTCCTTTCAACTGATTCAGGAAAAAAATTGTAAGCCCAGAATATCACCAATTGAAATTTCATGTAATTATTCTTCCCCCCTCCCCCCAATATGCTAGTTTCCCCAGCTCGATTTTTTTCGCTGTTACCTTAATTGAAATATATCGACTGTACTTTACAATGACTGTGCGTATAACACAGTCATTTATTTTCCCTATCTGAAGCATTCGTGTTGATTTGCTCAATTATATACGTACGTATATAGGGGCATGTGATGGAACCAATGAAGCACAGGAGTATTCCCTTGAAAAAGGAAACGCCGAAATTCTGATTGAATCTTCGTGTACCATTAATATGATTTCGAACTATCCTGTGGTTTCTGATGGTGAAAAGAGTCAACAATCTTCGACGAGTGAAGAAATAATCTCAAAAACTTCGAGCGATTCGTGCCACCAGCGAACATCAAATGAAGCCCTTTCTGGTGATGGAATAATCGCGATCAGTAAGAATTTATACTTTTAATACTTGAATTAAAAAATTAAAGTCAGGCATTAGCGCAATCTTGAAAAATGTATCTGTGTAAACCTCGCAAAAAATTCGAAACTCACGTCGTTCCAAATGTAACATTTTCTGAGGTTAACTTTATCTCGGCTGCCCGACGTCCTCAAGGTTATGTTTCATTTTCTATTAATGGGAGACTTCAGGAGTCCTACGTGTGAAAAATCAAACTATAGACGTCCATTTCCTGAGGTGCCTCTGTTCACATTTGAGGCGTTGTATCGTGTTTTTCCTTCGAGCTTGAAATAAATGTCACCGCAAATATAAAATATCGGCATCACAGGAGAAGTTGCCATTGATTGATCTATGTTTAGGTCCCACTGCGAAGAACGAGGAAGCCAAACTCCGTCGCCCGAGTCAATCGCACGGAAACGCCATCCCGCACTTCATTCGGAAAAAGAAGCCGATGAAAGAGGTCGATTATAACGACCTGTTTCCAGGTGCCAGGACCTCGGTTTATGCTGAAGTTTCGCCACAACCCGATATTGCGAAAGCACCGAATGGTTCATCTGATCCGGCTGTCGCCAGCAGCTTGAACTGTTGTGAAGTTGGTGTAATGAATGATGGTGGTTCTGCTGGTGAGGATTCTGTGCGTGATCCTGATGATGACCAAGTTCCCCGCCATTTTACGAAAGCACCAGGGTACGTGAGACATTCATGAAAATAATTCGAATTTTGTAAACCTTGCGAAAAAGTCCTAAACTTCCCCATCGTTCAAAAAAAAAAAAATGCTGCGACATTGGATGTATTTCGGCTGTCCGACGTCATCAGTGTTATATTTTATTTTCCATTTAAGCGCTGTTGAATTTTATCAATAAAATTAATGCGGCACAGAATCTCGTTGAAGCGAATGAAGTGGTGCTTCGGTTCAAGGACTGCATTATTTTCAATGAAAAGTGTTATATTCGACATATAGTGGCTGATTGGTTCCAAGCCAATTTCAATATTTGAAGGAGAATTTCGTTTTATCGATTTTCTCCCGTTTGAAGCATCGTCCTTTATCCATTATACGAGGTGATCGCTAACACTGCATCAGACAAATCAATAAGTTGCTGAAGTGCCTGAAGTATGGTATAGGGGTCAAACTTTTCGAGGACTGCGTCAAAGCGAGAAAACGCCTTCTTCTATATAGTTGTTCATGTTTTTGCTGATTTTTTTCATGTGCATTAATACTAAAAAGATTGCAATAGTTCAATTTGGATGTCGAAAAAAGTTACGGGGTATTCCTGTGTCCAAAACTATGCAATCAAGCGAAAACTGCTCCTCCATAATGATTGTATCCTTTATTGAATCAGGAGATCCTGTGCGGCGACGATTCCTGATAATCCTTCGAGAAATAGCCAAACTTTCCCGACAAAAAAGAATCCGCCGAAAAATGGCAAATCCAGAACACAGCAGCAGCAGCACGCCTCTGACGTTCCTCGACTTGCTGTTGACCAGAAGCATTGCATGAACGACTTGTTCTCCGACCACCGCAGTCAGAACTGTTGTAACGGAAAAGGAAACGNCGGGATTTTCTGATCCCGTTTCTGTTCCTTTCGAAGGCGACAGAAAAATTCCATTTCAGAGAACGGAAACGAATGAACGTGGGAGCAGTTTTCAAGAAACTTTGCCGGTCACGGAACAAAAGGCAGAAATTTTGCGAGAACGTCAAATTCAAGCATCATCATCAGTTTCCCATTCCCCACTTGAAACTAAAACTGCAGAAAAACTGTCCCTGGTTTTTGGTGAGAAATCCGTTCAAGTTGTTGAGCAAGTGATCGATAACGCGGTTTACGTTTCAAAAAGTCAGACTTTCAAAGATGAATCGCAGGTAAAAATTGAGCTCCACGCAGAAAAGTCGATCGTTTCTGTTGATCAGTCGTCAAAATCTAGTGATGCTTCGTTAAAAAACAAATTCAAGAACGATTTTTCCCACGAATCATCTTCAAAAATGCTGCCCGAAAATATTCCGAAGCAATCCATTGTTCCAGGAAGAACTCATGCAAGCCTTTCTGAAATGCATCCAACTTCCATTTCTGAAATTTCTTCATTGAATCTCGAACCTACAAAACATGATAATTTTAAATCGGTGCTTCGTGAAGAAATTGCGTCCGCAAATCGTGGCGTGTCTGTTGATGTCATCAAAGAAAAACCAGAAATGAGTCTCAAGACGGGAATCTCAAATGAAGGACTAGAAACATTGGAAGCTGCTGCTGTGAGGGACGGAACGAAAACTGAAGAAATTCGTGGAAAGTGCCCTGAAAACTTGGTGATAAATCCACAGATGTCGCCAAAGAAATTTCAGAACGAGTCTCCTGTAGAAAAAGCACATTCAACGTCTTCCCCAGCAGAAAACAAAACCACTAAAAGAGGCAAGGAAACGTCGAGGAAGCTTTCGGCAACCCTGTGTCCAAACGACGCGACGGAAATCAAAGCTTCTCATACGGCAGATGTTTTATTGACTTGTTCTTCGCCCATGGTAACAGTTAGTTCTCCGAAACTTTCCAAAACCCCTAAAACGCCGAATCTCGAAGCCCTTCACGACCTCGTCGTCAGACTGAAATATGCTCCTAATCGATCAGCAACCTGGGCCCAGGCAGCGAGACGAGCTTGCGAAAGAACCAGAGAAGATCCCTGCATAATCGACTCTGAGTCGTCATTCCCACCTTTAAGCCCGTGTAACATTGCCATCAAGGAGTCCGAGCTGAAGGAAATTTTCGCTCCACGGTCTTCAGATGACGAGAGCGTCGACAAAGACCCCATCATTCATCCGCCAAAATCGGAAGCCACGGAAATACAGCGAACATCTTCCAAGAATGATCACAAAACCCCGGAAAATATCGAAGATCCAAAATCAAAAGAACCGCGTGAAGAATTTGGAAAAGTGAACAGCTATCAGCATCAGCTTCTGAACAGTTCCCAAACTCCACCTGAAGTAACGACTTCTACTGTTCCTGTAGAACTCATTCTGCCCTCCGAGGATGAAAACACAAAGGAGAACGATTGGGAAACTGTCACCAGGAAGCGGAAACCATCTGCTGGGAAAGCGTCGAATAAAAAGCAGAAGAATTTCCGGAACAATAATGAAGTGTGTCGAAAGTCATCTGTGAATGTGGAACATCGGAATGCTAACCTAAATTCCAGAAAACCGTGTGTCGGGCTTCTCAGCAAAGAAACTTCAAAGAAAAAGTTTGAACCGAGTATGAAATTCATCCCCGCTTCGCGGAAAGTAAATGCGGAAGAAACTATTTCTCTACCAGCAACAGCAGTCGACTCCTCCCAGAAAACGCATCAATTAGGTCATACAACATCCCAGAGTCGATCATCAAGTAAAAATTCATCTTCTGGGCCATTGGAGGACCTGAACAGGCCGCGAAGGGAAGAAGTTTCCACTCTTGCTGTTTCAAAAAAATGGTGGTGTGAAATTGAAGGTGGTTTGTCTGAGAAAGTGGTAGTGGATGTGAAGGCACAAGTTTCCCCCGCTTCAGAAATTTTGCGAGGTCCTCAGAAGAAACGAGATCCTGTCGTTATTGGACGAGAACGGAAACTAGGTGTGGATGAGGGAGGCGCAAAAGATATTGGGAACCCGCAAGCAGCAGATAAAAATTACTCAAATGAAGAGAAAGATTTAAAATCTGTCGACGTGGTTGCGGATAACTTCAAAAACGCCTCTGATGGTGAAAAACTTTTCAGGAATGTGAAAGGTGAATCCGAAATTGATCCTCTCCGAAAGGGTTCTTGTTCTTCGTCTGGAGGTTCAAAAAATCCTGCGAACGATCGCATATCCGAAAAAACATCAGACCTGAAGGAGATATTGACCGTTGTGTCCGCGATGAAATCATTGCCCGAAGATGCGCCGGAATTTCCTACGAAATCTGCGGATGCCTCAGGTAATTTTCAACTCTATTTTCATCGAAAGTTGCCTCTACTTCAATTAAAAATCCATAAAAGCTGTCTTATTTTCTAAAATCTCATGTCCTTAGGTCAAGCTCGAACGAATTTTGTACGTTAAAATTAACGCCTGACGCGTCGATTTCCTTTGCCTTTACAGTACGCGTCGACTGAATTTATCTTGACGTTTCAAGAGGTCATATTTCAATTGCCGGACGTCAGTTTATTATGGTTCGACTTTAATTTAGTAATTATTTGCCAGGTGTGTGATTAAATTTAGTTGAAACATTGTTAGACTCATGTGGCGATAAGCAGCAAGCAAACCTTAATAACACAATTAACGGTAAAATCAGCATCGTATTTAAACAAGAAACTGTTGAAATGAAAATGGAACAACCTCATAATATATGATTCCCTCAGGAAAATTGGCTGGCAAAGTCAAGGGTTTGGATTCGGAAGTATCCGTATCTCAAGATGCGAATTCTGAAATTCAAGAGAAGTCGGTTCTTGTGCGGTCTCGGGAAGTTTCCCTCGTGAAAGAACGATCCGGGAAGGAAACATCGAATGATCAATTGAATTCCAACGTGTCTCCACCCGTTATTGAAACAGTGAGTGTAGAATTTGAGGAACCAGCAGAGGGAGACTCGCATTTTCAATGCAAATTTCCGATCGGGAAGAATGTCGTTCTTCTTCCTGATGATGGAAAATGTTCCGGGAAGGCAAAAAAGAAGTCATATCGGAAAGCAGCAGTCGGAAACGAGCGAGAAACTCCTTCAAAAAGTTCCTTAGTGCACGATTCTGACCTTTCCCGGGAAACCGAGGGGTTTAAAAGCATTGCTGCCGTGAAGGATTCGTATCCTGAAGTTGAAAATAAACCAGGGCATTCGTCGTCCAATCATAGTAACATGAGTATAGGAAGAGGAGTTGTAGAAACATGCGCCCAAACATCGACTGCGTCCGGCGAAGACGGGATTCTAAGTTCCGGTTGCCGAAAAACCCCAGATATCCCGCCGGGTTTCGAACAGCTCACGACGGAAACACGGACACCGCCCCTGAAGGCCATCGAAAAATTCTTCAGCCAAAACGTCAGCGTCGAAGAGTTTTTGAATGGGTCAAGTGCTAATGACGAAATTAATTATCCGAGATCGGTACGAAAATTGAGCGTGTCGTCATCCAGCAATCAGTCCAATACATGCGATGAAGTTTTGTGCAAGACCGGAACGGTGAGTAAATAGGATGGAAAAACCCTATATTTCCTCTGTTCGAAAAATTGTGAGCAAGAAGTTTCGAAATGCACAAGGAATACCCTCGTTACGTACAAATTTGAACTCCGTCTTGTTCTTGTCGAGGCAAGTAGGCGTAAGAATACGTTAATGACAAAAGATTATCAACCAAAAAGTTGCCAATTTTCGAACGTAAAGTTCAAAGAAATCCGGAAGACGTCATATTTTCAGTTTACTGTTTCTCCCGTTTTGAAAAAGTGTTTTTTTCCCTTTCTTGCGACCGGAATGACTCTCACATTCAGCCTGCGACAAAACCGAAATCTTCGACGCGTCAAGAGACTTCCAGGAATCTGCGAGTGACATCTGGCGGCGGAGACGGCAACCCGCGAACCTCAACCACGACCAACAGCATCAAAATCGCTGATGAATTTCCACTTTTTGTCCCCAAGTCATCGAATAAAGAAGCACATGCCCGAAGCCATCGTCGAGGTAGAAGGAAAGATTCCTCTGCAGAACAACACCTGAGTATGCTTGCGACTCGTTTCCGACTCGGTCGACTCGCTGCAGGATTGTATCCCGACTTGAAACGATTCGAACATTCCTGTGATCCGAATTCGCTGGTCACTGAGTGCTTCGGGGATGTGCTTGTCGTGAGGGCCGTGAAGCGGATTGAGAAGGGCGACAGGATTACAATGGCTTTTTCTGGAGAAAAAGGCGAAATCAAGTAAGTTGAAGGCCTTTTTACCCATATTTTCTCGAGTAAGATGCGCACCTGGTTTTTTGGTCCTGAAATTTGGCTAAAATTCTATACCCGAGGATGACTCGCACAGTCGCACCCCACGTTTAGTGACTAAAAATTAGGAAAATTTTGAGCAAAAAAGCATCAAAATCGAAATTTTGAAATGACCATAAGTGATATAATATTCCATCATTTCCATTAAAAATAATTATTTGTTTAAATTTGTCAATGATTTTTTTTAAGGAAATGAGTATTATGAGCACCTAAACTTTTTTTAATTTATGAAGAATTGTATACCCGCGTATGACGCGCACACTCTTCCCCTTAGGTGGTAGATAATACGAGAGGCATCTAGCGGTAGTTTCTCGAAGCATACGAATTCGAATTTATAGAATTTCTTATGATTTCAATGAATTTTTTCTTCCCAAGATATCCCTGTTTTTACGGTATGCGTCAAATCCCACATTCAATTGATTCAATTGAGGGATAACGATTCATGCCTGAATACTGTACTTTCTGTTGCGCAAATCCTAAACCAGGCACCCAAATATGCCAAAACGCGAGCGACTGGAAGAGCTTAAGACGAATTTCAACATACACTGCAAATGCAACGCGTGCGCTGGGAATTGGCGAGAAGAATCCCCTCCCAACGACTCAATCATCAAATGCCCGTCTTGCCAGAAAGCGAACTTGATGTCGGACTTGGCACGGAAGCGGCAGAAACTGTGTTTCCACTGCAAGTCTCCCAGTGTTGCCAAGTCTCTCGCAGATGTGGACAATGCCTTGTCCCAGTACGAAATGCAGAAGAAAATCGTGTTGGATGATTCTTCTGCTCATGATTTGAAGCTCAACAGTTGGAAGGTGAGATTTCATGGAAAGCAGTCAGGGAATCAGTAAAAACCTGGTATACCTGAAAAGCTTTCGCATCTGGAAAATTTTGTAATACTGTATTGCACTTGAATAAAATTGTGGTACCTTGCCCTTTCAAATTATACTTATTCTGGCATGAGTTGATGTTGCTGAATGTCATAATTGAATAAAAGATAGCCTTCAATAAGTGTAATGCTCAACTGATATTGCTGGACATAAAAAGAAAGCCTGTTGATGTTCATACCACACTTATAAATCAAGTCTTCAAAATCATAAGCAAGGTTTATTGCAAGTGAAATATATATCATAGACATTGTTTGCAATGATTTATTTGATTTTATCTCTGTGGTTCTTTAAGGAAATGTTCCGTGATTTGGCTACAGCTGGTCAACACTTGTCATCTCCTTGTCCCCTGTTGCGGAATATGACAGAAAATTTAAGGATGGCTCACGCGGGATTGCTGGGAGGAAATTGTTCTGGAGTGGCTCAAAATGACTTGAAGAATGCTTGGGCTAAAGACGATTTTGACATGATCTGCAAAAGTGATCCAACGTGATTAGAAATTATTTGTTTTGCAGACCTGTGACGAAATTGCTTTGTTCCTCANAGCAGTCAGGGAATCAGTAAAAACCTGGTATACCTGAAAAGCTTTCGCATCTGGAAAATTTTGTAATACTGTATTGCACTTGAATAAAATTGTGGTACCTTGCCCTTTCAAATTATACTTATTCTGGCATGAGTTGTTGTTGCTGAATGTCATAATTGAATAAAAGATAGCCTTCAATAAGTGTAATGCTCAACTGATATTGCTGGACATAAAAAGAAAGCCTGTTGATGTTCATACCACACTTATAAATCAAGTCTTCAAAATCATAAGCGAGGTTTATTGCAAGTGAAATATATATCATAGACATTGTTTGCAATGATTTATTTGATTTTATCTCTGTGATTCTTTAAGGAAATGTTCCGTGATTTGGCTACAGCTGGTCAACACTTGTCATCTCCTTGTCCCCTGTTGCGGAATATGACAGAAAATTTAAGGATGGCTCACGCGGGATTGCTGGGAGGAAATTGTTCTGGAGTGGCTCAAAATGACTTGAAGAATGCTTGGGCTAAAGACGATTTTGACATGATCTGCAAAAGTGATCCAACGTGATTAGAAATTATTTGTTTTGCAGACCTGTGACGAAATTGCTTTGTTCCTCATCAATGACTTGCAAACAGTGCCTTGATTACGAGTTGATTACTTGTTCAGCATTTCTCTTTGTTTCATTTTTATTTTATTATTGATTTTATTCTTGGAATGAATTAAATTATTTTTTTCTTTCAGGTCTTGGAAAAAAATTCGGGAAAATCTGAAAGCATTCTGAGGAACGAAGTATTTTGCAGGTAATGTATTCTCAATCTTCATTCCTCATGTAAAATGTTATTTTTTTTTGTTCATGACATTGGGAGGAAGAGTGAGTGAATCTTTGTGCCAAACTGCAACATTAAACACTCAAACCTGGTTGGTCCAAGTTTGACAAGTTTTCTTTGCTCTAATGGTGCAGGCTTTCTGGCACTTCTTTTCCCCAACATTTCTTACATTTTGATGCACTTTTTCAAAACGTTGCGAGTTACAGTATATTCTCAACTCCCAAGATTGACGCTTCTTAATTGCCACAAAAATTTTACTTATTTTTACAAACCCATCAAAACAAAAACAGCTAACTCTTATATTGTCCTCTGTACTGTACAGTATTTATAACTAATTGCATTCATTCAAAGCATAAATTGTCTTACGGAGTGCTGAAGGATTGTGGCTCTGCTTTTTAAAAATCCTTTCCTCAAGGTTACGTATTTGTCTGATAGCTGCGTCATGAAGCGGACTCCTGAGGCATCTTGAAGCCCCATGCAAATTACGAGTCTTATGTGCAGCATTTTCCATTATGAAATAGCAACTGTCGAGCACTCGTAACGATTTTTGAACGATTGCAAAGTACTTCGGCCATTTTTCAGGGCTCCTGCGGAAAAGGAAGTGTCGTTTAAAATTTCACACCCTTTCGGCTGAAACAGATTTGCTTAGCGACAAGCGTAAATTAAAAACAAAAGCCACTAACTAACTGCTTTATATTAACATATCACGATAAAAGTTCCCTAGTATCGTTACCGACGGCTTAACTGACCATTCGTGAAAGAAGAAATCTTGGGCAAAGACAAATCCGTCGAGGAAGCTCAAAAGCAGCTGCGAATCAAAGCTTGCAAAGCCGAAATTGCTGGTGAACATAATGACAAATTCAAATTTGATTTCCGCTGAAATTGAATTTTCAAACGATGCAACTTATTTAAATATCTACTTTTTAGTCATACCTTTTTTTTATTTGAGCTAGAAGTTAAGTTCCTTTCCGCGGCAAAATGTTCTCGTTTACAGGCTTGAAAAAGATGATCGAGCTGAATGAGCAGATGAAAGCAGACATGATGAAGCGTGAAGCAGAAAGCAGGCGTCGTTTGGGGGAAATTTTACCCTTCTACGAACTCGCCAAAGAAAATCTTAGAATGTAAGTTACCTCCGCTGCTTTGGTTCCAAACTGAAACTGAACGCATCTTCACCATCAAATGAGCGTAGGAGAACTATGATGCTCTCAAACTCGCAGAAGGATGAGGCAGGTTCACTGCGGGCGAAGGAACGACTCGAAGAAAAAATGAAGAAGTTGGAGGAGGACGCGTTGGCAACGCGGAATGACGCATTTAATTTTTTTTGCATGTGGTATGAGAGCAATGTTCTGAACGGGAATGCCGTTATCCAAAACACAGAGGGCAAGTCAATGGAAGAGGTCAGTTTGTTTCTAAGGCAACAATATCTGCTGCAACGCAATTTGGATGGTCGTTGATTTTCTTTCATTCGTGAAAAATGTTTGATAAGCTTTTGTCTATTTGGAAAAACTTTCTGCTCTGAATTATCCTAAAATTACAGTTGAACCTCGATAACTCGAACCTCCCTTTGTCGAATTTGTTCAGGTCCCTTTCTGAATTCCTTTAGAAGCAATGCATCAAGAATCTTCTTATAACTCGCGACTCTCCAAGACATTCCCCTTAACCTCTGTTAGGGAAGAACTTACCTTAACATATATATGTTAGTTTTTTAAGAGTGGATCAATTTGTAAAGTAAAGTTTAAGAAATGTTGAAATAAAAAACAGAATCAGCCTGGGACAAGGCCAGGGAACCTTAGTTTGGTTTCCCTGATTTAAATTAGAAATATATTTCGAATATTTTGTCCCACGAAGTTGACACACAAATTTTAGGTTTTTCAACAATACAACACCTAACAGACATTCGTAGATTTCGCGATGCGCACACTCCAAAAGTTATGATAGCAAGTGGCTTTGGTAAATTCGTTCTCCGATGAAATCGGGGGGAAACGGAAATCGGTTTCTGGTTTTCTTCTGTTGAATTGCTGTTGTCCTTGGTGAGTTCCTACCCTTTGAGGGTTGGAACTCTTATCAGATTTTCGTGGTTTTTTATAATTCATTTTAATTTAATTTTAGCATTGTTCGGTGTGCGGCGGTTTCCCAACAACCTCCATAACTAAAATTTTCTGGAGGCCATTATTAGGCTGTTATTTTCTTGACACAGGAAAGAGAAAAGCAATAAAATGGAACTTGCTGTGTTTTTACATGAAAGTGAGTGACTAATCGGGCAAATGAATCCTTGCCTCCAAGTTCAGGATCCTGTCAACATATTTAAGGCCCGTAATTTCACCAATGACAGTTTCCTCCTGTAATTTTTCTTTCTTTTCGCCCACGAAAAATGCTTTATCCCCAACATGAAACCTCCCTATAACTCGATTGTTTGCTGTTCCCTTGAAAAAAGATCAATTGTTTTACTCTTAGAGAGTTCTTGATTGTATACCTTGATCATGTACAGATTTTCGACATGTCTCTGGAGCGGTATATCGCCGAAACCAAAAGAAAGCCTCAACTGGAGAGGATGGAAGAATTGAAGAAAAGAGAAGAGATCTTGTTCCGGCAACTGGCTGAAATGTACAAATCTTCTGCAATGGTTGAAGAGGAAATCGGGTAAATTCTATGATTTTTCATGCAATAATAAAGGTTTCTTCGGGATGCACGATCATATTCGGGTGCATTAGTAAATCAAGTTCCCCTCTGCAATCAATCTTTAATATGATTTTCCAGGCGACTGACGCTGCAATACAACATGAAATTCGGCCAACAACACAGCTCCAATATGGTTTCTGACAGCGAAGGCAGCGACCGTGAATATGAGTCTTCTGCTATGCCAGTGCGTAATACCGACGCCAGCAACATCAAGGAAGCTGGTTTCAAAGACCCGAATGTTGTCGTAAGTGAACTTTCCAGTCGTCTTTCCATTACTGCATTACTTTCAAGGAAAATCGTGGGGCGCGAAAAATAAATGACGGTATTTCAAATCAATGAAACGTGTGCATGCGTCGATCCAAGTTCTTATAGATCAGTATTGTCAAGGAAAGTTGCGTGAATGATCCATGCATAGGAATACTGTGTACCGTAATAATTACTAATAATACCGTAATAATATTATACTGTAATTACCAGGCGAAATATTCGTTTACCAAGATTGTTACGGAAGTTAATTTGATATTTAATAAATTAATACTCACAACATTCCGTCACAGCCGGTGTGCTAGATCTTTGTCCTTGCTTGCTGGCGCCTTTTTTGAAGATTACTTTTGAAACACGACATATTCCGAGTGACTTTTTGGAAAGGCGTGACAGATTACTGCTGGAATGCTCAGTCCTGCAAAATTCTCGGGACAGTCATTTTAATCGCTTCGAAAATCTTCCTTCGATTAAGGGGGACTATCTGTACAACGAAATGCAACGGACGAGAAGAAAATGATTGTAGAAAACACGTATAACTTGGGGAGAGAAGCTGTGAGAGCGAACAATAGAAATAATTTTACAGCGAAAAATCTTTGTAAACAAGATGTTATAGAGAGAGTCCATCGTCTGTTGTTCAGATTTACAACTTCCTGCTGGGGCGACCCTTGGAATTTTCTGCAGTCGTCACCGTCTCACACCACCGTTAATCAGCGAAACGCAGTATTTTCCTCGATCATCGATTTTTATTCGTATTAAATACATGGTAAATTTCGTTCCAATATTGTACCCTCTGAATATCTCTCGATACCGCCGTATAGGTTCGTTCGCGAGATAAATAAAACTGGTTTAGCCCACATAAACGGGATTTCAACTTTTCAAGGGTGTACAGCTTTTCTCATATTCGAAAAGTTGTTTCGTGCCCATTTGGCGTTGTTGGGTTAATGTCAGAATTTTAACTTCAACTAGATGGTGCTCCCAACCCTTGAAAGCTAGAGTTTAAAAAGTCTGGACCCGACTGGAGCAAAAATAAAGTACGGTACACAGAAATTTCAGACATGGAAACCCGCTTGCTTCCCTACATAGCAGCGAATTTTCACAAATAATTACATGAATACTACTGTATAATTGCGTTGTGTCAAGTATTCTAGTCATTGAATCTTCTTTTTACAACTCGTTCGCAGCTTTCGAATTGGAAAAATTCCGGGGCATCTACGAAAAAAAAGGGCGCTTGTAAAGGGCGAATGGCTGACGATCACGAAACTGAGGAAGAATCAATTGATCGACGGGCCAATCGTAAAAGAAATTGGTCTGATGATGAGGATGACGAGCAAACGGATGTTGCTGTGCCAGGAATGGCATTTGTTGCAGAAGGGGACCAGCATAGATCGGCTGGACAAAATCGCAGTGTGAAACAATCGACGCCAAAACCCAATGTTGTAGGAAGCAGCTTTTTGCGCCAGGTTCCTAATTCATTTCTTGCCATTTTTGCTGCGTTACTCCAAGATTGATTTGAGACTTCAGTGTTTAATGAATATGGTGCTTGTCAGAAAATGCGTGCTCTCGCTGTATAATCGGGCTGGTCATTGGTTCTGCAAATTCACGCTCCCGTAGCATCAAAATTTTGCGAAAACGTAAAATAGGAGAGTTTATTCTTAGTCGTGGGCAGTGTCCGAATATGCCAGCGAAGGCTTTCCTTTCAATTGAATCGCCCGGCGTCTTTGACTCGGTGATTCTCTTATGAAAGAACACCTTTCCCTCAATTTGATAGTTTGATAATTCATCATTTACGTATTTTAGTAATCCTCCGTAAAGAAAAAAAAATTAAAGCTAATTTTCCAGTTCAAGACTTAAGAGTGACGTTATATACCTTCTTTTCATTCGCGTCCCTTTTCTGGTGATGAATTATGCTGCGATGGACGTTTTTCAGGGTCTCCCTACAATTACGGATGGTATGGATGAGACTGATTCTGATGAGTATTATCGTCGTTATGAGACGACAGAAACCCAGCAAAACGAGGAGAATGTACGTGAGATTGGTTCTGCGTGCTTGTACTGTAAGCCCGAAATGTTTTCTCTATTTGTTGGCGGAAAGTAATACGACCTTGTTCTCATGAAAAATCAAAGAGGGACTTTTTGAAAGGACGCGATCTGAAGAAAATAAAAAAGAAGAATTAAGAAGATCACTTACAAAATAACCCAATGATGGTTCAAGCGTGGGAGAGCAATATATTATTTGATTTGCAAGAGATAATTGAACGGAGACTTGGCGTAATGCAAATTTGGCTTTTGTTCCAGTACAGTACTGTATTAATTTTTTTTTAAAGCAAAACTCCACTTTTCCGTGATTTGCGAAGCTTAAACTTGAAAATCGGACTACGCAGTGTTGCCAACAAAATTCTTTGTCTCCCGCGCCTCGGAAATGACACGGGCTCATAAAATTAACATAACTCATTAATTGTCAAGTATCAATGCACGAAATTGAACTTACTATATCTGTATAGTAAATGTATTCAACCAATTTCCGAAAGGTGGTGGAAAAGCAACGCAATCAACTCGATCGACACCGAGAAACTGCACGAGTCGACAGCAAATACGACCCTCGTCAGCAGTTGATGAGAAATCCGGGAGAAAATCAGACTCGGCAGCAACAATCGACTTTTCGTCATTCCCGTCAATGGGCATCGCACAAGGTTGAAGAGAATAATGCTAAAATGTCTCCTACTGGGGTTGCTGTTTCGGGAAGAGGAAATCATTCTGATGATGATTCCGACGATGAAGAGCAGATGATGTTTCAAGAGCGTCCATCCGCGGAAACACATATGGCAAGGAAATCTCCGTATGACAATCAACCGAGTATGCCTAAAACCCCAAAGGCGAACATACATCAGAGAAAGTGAGAGGGCGTTTGTTTGCATTATTGTACGTATACGTGACTACGATGTGCGATGATGAGAGCTATTTGTATTGTTTACACAATGCCTGATAAGGTTTTCCATGCAGTCATGATATACTTACTTTCACATATGTCGATGTTTGAATAATAATTTGAAGTGTAAATGTTCATTCGAAGTAATGCAGCTAGGATTTTATTGCGAAGTCATATTGGTTTCCCCATTTTTTAAGAGTTGGATTTTTAAGCAAATTTTGTCTAAAGAGAAATATAATTTCCTTGGACTTTATCGCCCGATTGTATAGCCATAATGAATCCATTTTTTCTCCAAATTGTATTCAATATCGTCAATTCTCAATAATTTTGAATGCCCAGCATGGAAGTAGAAAATCTTATTTGAATGGAAATAATCGAAAATTAATTCAATTCAAAATTGAATCATTTCCAAATTCAAATCTGAATATTCTTATTTTTGAAAACTTATGGTTTTAGAGTCACTAGCAATGGGGTGTGCATCTTACTCATAAGACGGATACAATTTTATTGAAATTTTCGACTGAAACCCCCTGATGGTGCAGGTCTTAGTGGAGGGATTGAGTAAATAAGGTATTTGTCCATTCAATCTTATTGCTGGAATGCAGCTCTATCTTACTTTGGCCTAGTTTGCTACATTGGAATTCACTTTAAAGTTTTACTCACAGAACCTCCCAGCTTTTTAGTACGGTACTGTAGTGTATCATACTGAAGTGACATCTAGGGAGAAAAACTGTGGTGCATACAGGAATAATAAGCAAAATGTTTCCAATGAATATGAAAACTTTTTCCATTTTCAACGTGATAGCCGGGTGTCTTCATGTGGGTATAGATGTCACTGGTTGTCGCAATCCTGTTACCGTTTTCCAATAATAAGTCTTTCAAAGTACAGTACTGCTGTAGTTGGATATGAGAGGGGATTGAAGTTGTAAGAGATTAGTATCAAGTTGAGGCTTGTTCAAAATTCTAGCTTTTGTTCATTGTGGATTCATCCGCATTTTTTCCTTCTTTTTCGAAAAGATTTTCATTTTTTGTCTTCTTTTTCAAAACTTTCCGGATGGATCCCACAGTCGTACTCCTTCCACTGTTGAGAAACAGGAAATCATTGCTGGAAGATCCTGCACTCCGAAGTCTCCTCATGAAATACGAAGCGAATATTTTTCTTCATCGCCGGCTCAAAATAAAACCATGAATACGCTCAATAAGAAACATGAAAAGACTCCTCGACCAACGGCACAGCGGTTGCTTCAGCAGCAGCAAACGGGTGCCGCTGCTTGTCCAAAGAAAGTGCGGTTCCCTGCTGGGCTCTTTGACGACGATGAAGATCAGGTCAGTTCGCATCTTTCAGCTAGCTCCTTTGTGATTTGCTGATTGGTTTTGCTGCAGTATACTGTCCTACAGTATAAAATTCCGTTATAACGTACTTTTGATGACAACCCATTTATTTTTCAGCCCCCTGACCAGCGATAACCACAATATTATTCAAATTATTGTATAACGCATTTATTGATATAACAACGCTTTTTCCAGGTCCCATGGAATTGCACTGTATGTTTTAAGAAGTGAAACAAATCTTAATGGCATTTTTACACAGTAAATGTGATACTGCAGCGTTTTGGGGCGAGGCATCGTATAAATAACTCGAATAATTTTAGAAATTTTTAGGCATTCAAATTTAATTCCAGCTATTCATACTTTTGTAAATCACTGCGGGTAGATTTTATATGGAAATATTGAAGCATAATTGACAAACGCTTTATTAATATTAATAACTTTTATAAATCGTTTGTATACTTTCTGAAACATAAAGGAACTATTTATGAACACATATTTATTAAGGGCAATACAGGTGGTACCTTGCAATTCGACCCTATAATCTGTTGCCGGACTAGGGTCGACTTGCGAGACACTCCGTCAAATTCAAGTGCAAAAACGCAACAAAAAATATCATGTCGAATTACAAGTCAACCTCCCTGCAAATTCGACCGTCGAATTGTGGGACGGTTGAAATGCGAGATATACCACCTGTGTAAACATGTTCAACACAAGCAAGAATGCTGTGATGAAGAAACGCGTTTATCTCTTTTAAAATTTACGCCGGGAACAAAATTTCAACACCACGTTTGATTTATCGTTGTGATCATTTGTCGTCTGGGTGTCTTTTATCCAAAACAGATTAAGCTATCCTGCGAAAAGATCAATGAAAGCACAAGTTTGATACGTGCAAAAAGTAATAATTTGACTTTGTAAGTTAACCCGTGATGTCACTAAATTTCATTTTCATTCACACAGGACGAAGATGGCGCGTTTAACACGCACACTGAGTCACCTCAGGGGAATAAACTGCCGTCTTCGGTCGGGATTTCTCCGGAATCCACTCCTCGCATGAAAAGAAATTTCGAATCCAGTCATCAAAGGCCGAGATATTGGCAAAGGGACGACTCCGATTCGGACGATGACGAGTTCTTTACTGAAGAGAAGAAAACGCCTCGGACGCCGGCGCTGCAACGTCGACCTGCTGTCTCCCGACGTCCTCCTGATCAAGCAACCGACAAGTCTGTTGTTGCCGGTAATAAAAATAAGTTGTCGCCTGGTGACGCCTCTGCTGCTGGGCCAAGTAAATCACCTTACCGTGGAGCCGGTCAGAGGAAAGGGACGCCACAACTCGGGAATTATCCCGCCCATTTACGAGTGAGTCCTTTTTTTTGCGGATTTTATTCATGTATTTTCATTAGGAGGTGATGTCATTTAACAAAAGGTGGACTCTCTAGAACGATTTTCTCTGCAAAACGATTTTTTGGGGTCACATATAAGGGTTATTATCTTCTCATTTTAAAGGGTTTCTTTGCGAGGAATTTTTTCTCGTCCGTTGAATTTCGTTGTAGAGAGAGTCCACCTGTATTTTATTCACTAAAATATGTCTGTTTGGAATGGATGGTTTTCGAAATTCGCACGTAAAAACTGATCATTTTTTCGAGCCAAAAAATTTTTATTTTAAGAATAATCCGCATTCAATTTTAACATGCCTTGTAAGTACAATTTTCATTTGAGTTAGGGAGCAGAATTAAGAAGCATAGCTCAGTAGTGGAGTTGCGTTTCGAGGGGGATGCATTTTTTGCTGGAAAGCTCATTTTCAAAATCATCTATTGAATCTTGGACAATGCTCGGACATATCCCTGGAAATATCTGGTCTAGTTTTAGTATTTAATTGATAGATTTCTGGTACAGTTGAACTTCTTCCAATTCGAACTTCGTGACCAGCCAAAAAATCGAGTTAGGGAGGGTTTAAATGCATTACAGTATGCCTATATACGGTATGCAATATTTATATAAGAGAATTCAGACGAGGGCTTATTGAAAAAAATTGTTTCAACATAGGGAGTTATTATCAAGCTATCGAGGTTCAATCGCAATTTATATAAAGGTGCTTAACATGGTTCTTTCAAAATTTAGAAGTTAGTGTGGGTTGAAACTGCTTTTTGTGTCTTTTATAATCACACTTCGACGTATTTATATTTGTCATAGATTGGGTCACCAACCAGTCGGACTGATGCATTTCCGGATTCGAAAGGTCATCGTAGGACGCCCAAGCCAGGCACCGGTACTCGCAGCCCAGGTTTCAGCAGGTCAGTGCAGGGAATCTGTTTTGTCAACCATTGAGATTTTAACAATTCGTTCGAATTGTGATTTATTTCCACGCAGAGGGCAGGGGAGCCTGTTTTCGGGCAGAAGTCCGCGGAGTACGAACGAGATTAATCGCAGTCCACGTGGAGCTTCAGGCAGTGATTTGAATCCGACCGCGGACTGGTTGGATTTTGCAGCAAATGTTGGCAGCTTTGACACTGGTCACTTGATGATGGATGGGCTTTCTGACATGGTTTTCTCGCCTGGGGTGAGTAGTAAGAGTTGCATTCTAGTTTCAGGAAAAGTCTTGTTCAGTCAAGTGCATGGAATCAGATAAAAGTTTGCCGTCACATTTTTAATTTATACGTTCCGTATCTGCAGTTCATACGTATTCTTACAGTTACCCTTTGTTGCGTGCATTGGTTCATTGTTTGACGAATTTTATGTTTTAAACTGCTGTAGTGAATATTCAACTGGCACCACTCAAGCTTTCGCGCATGGCCTTTCTGAACATTAATATACAGCTTAATTTTTTTTTATCCGAACGCAGTTTCAATTGAATATAAAAAAAAATTTCAAGTTAAAATTAATTTGGCAGTATATTGTTTGAAGAAGTACAGTACTGGTGTTGCAACATCTTGGTTGAACATTTGAAGAGAAATAGTTTTTCCTAACGCTGAATATGGTTGATTAGCTATAAAGCATATGCTGTTCGGCATCATACATGAAACTGCTGCAGAATATGTTATTCTATTACACAGTGTGGTGCCATGTCAGATGATGGAAACGCAGTTCTGGATATGAGTGACTGAGGCAATCTGATGATCCTTGCTGGGCTATGGAGATCTGTTCCAAGCTCGATCGGGTCGGTCTGGACTTTTTTTCTCCGTTGCTGTCGCCGCCTTCGCTTAATTTTTACGATGGGTGTTATCAAAGTTGAACTCAAATTATGTCAAATTTGGCACTTTCGGAAAAGTGTCGGTGTTCCGCTGCCTGTAATGGTTCAATCAAGTTAAATAAGTCGACTCATACCTCTGATCATGCAATTTGTGCACAGGTCTTGAATCTCATTAGTGGTATGTTAATGACCGCTGAAAAAAACTTCCAACTGGCAGGATATCTGATTTCTAACTTTTTTTAAATCCAAAATTAATCGATTCAATGCATTCCATGTCATGGCCTAAATTCAGTTCATTTAGCGTTATCAATCACTTGAAAGAAATTCATTTTGGCTTACGTCACTGTTTGAATTTACTCGCAATATCTTGCGTATGTCATTGGTTTTATTTATGTGCACGCTTTATATATGGGGGGGGGGTGGGGGGGGGGGGGGGTTGTCACGTCAGTGTTTTGGTCGAAAATGAAGAATACCTTTGTTGAATTTTTCATCTCCTTTATTCAGAAACGTTCAACGACTCTTTTTTCGTGTAACAGTGCCCACACTTCAGTCCTCTTCTCGCGCGTTTGTATCTCCTGTGAAAACATGTGCTCAAGAACAACAAATTGCTGTCGCACTGAAAAACAGCAAGAACAGTTCAAATTAGTAAAGTCACTCAGCTTTGTGATAGACCTACAAAAGAATTGCTCACTTTTTCTCCAAATCCATTCATTCTGCATCATCAGCGCTTACGCTTCGACTTAGCTTTCTTAGCCTTCTTCTTGGCATGTTTTGCCTTCTTCTTCTTGCTCTTCCTTTTGCGTCGCTTCCGCTCTTCCTCAGATGAAGAGGAGGAAGAAGATGATGAAGACGAGGAAGAGGACGAAGAAGTTGATTCAGAATCAGAGTCACTTTCAGAGCCACTTTTCAGAATCGGTTCCCCAGATTCCGCCACTTCCGAGCTTCTCTTGGACTTATGACGCCTGGAACTAGATCGTCGTTTTCGAGAATGTTTCCGGCGTTTCTTATGCTCTCCGCTTGGTGGCACTGTAAGCTGGCTCTCGCCTTCCGATACAGTAGGGAAAGAGGCGACATCTGGAAACGGCTCCTCAGCTGGTGGTTCAGGCTTCGGTGGCGAAGCAATCGGGGATCTGCGCTTGGATTCCCTCGGGGGATCTTCCCGTTGTTCTTGCGTTGTGCTTCGGGACGAATCCCTCTCTCTGTCCCTGCCACGATCCCGCTCTCGATCATCCCTCCTAAAAGATAAATTTCTTCAGTGAAACAGGTTACGAACATAAGTATGCAATTGAACAGTATACCGTATTATACAGTACTATATAAAGCGTGCACATAAATAAAACCAATGACATACGCAAGATATTGCGAGTAAATTCAAACAGTGACGTAAGCCAAAATGAATTCCTGACTGGAAATACTGTTTCTACTCCAGTACAACATACACCTTCTTCTCAAAATTTAAAGAAAAAAGGGTGATGATTGCAACCACGCATCTCATCAAAATTTTGATTTTCAGACATACCAAAACTTTTCAAATGTCTCTACTATCCAAAATTGAAAATGCTGTAGGCAGTTCCAAATTTGCAATACCAATGCGACAAGCAGTTCTACCAAGGGCAACACTACACGATTGTACAGGCAAAAAGTGCAACTATGTCAATGTTATACAACTTATAGAACAAAATTTCAAATCCATCATTCTCCTCTTGAAAAGATTTCCAGTTCTGTTAATTTTCGCATTGATGTTGCTTATTTTAAACATCACCGATCAGTCCCAATTGGCAAATATGAAATTGCTGGAGTTAGGTCCTCAATATAAGAGAAAAAGCAGAAGTAAATGAACCAAAGGAACCCAAACAAATTTTACTGGGAGAGTTTTGAGCAACAAGAACTATAATTTTTCCGAAAAAATGTATGAATCGCAGAGAAGTAAAATTGGTGCTATTTCGGCTCTGTAAGTGCTCAATAAATGCGTTGAAAGGAGGATAAACTTGGTGGCAAGGATACAGCCCAATTATTCACTCACCATTTTTAAAAGCATCAAGTTATATTTTTATTGCCCTTTTCTTTCTTAGGTCCGTGGAATAATAGCCCAAAAACATCTAGAAATTTGAGTTATAAAAGTTAGAGGGGGGAAATCTTTGACTTACAGGGGTTTATGTTACATTGTTCCAAAACAAATTCAGACATGGTAAAAAAAAGGGACATGGAGCAGTTTTCAACTTTGTTAGGATCATATCAGCAAGGTACAAGTGCACCATGAAGTCCTGCTATAGATCGAACAATATTTTTTAGAGAATTTAAACTTGGACACTTAGCAGTCAAGGCAGTCGAAACACCATTTTCTGCCCTTCGGTTTACAGACAGAAATTTTGAACCATTCCTTTGCATTTCCAAAATTTAAAAGTGGGACTGAACAAGTTTAAATGATTTCTTCATGATGACCGACATGAAATCAACCAAGGTGTGCAAGAAAGGCGGGTGAAAACGAAGCAGGGGTGAACTCAAGCAGCAAGCAACAATTCCAGTCGCCAGAAAAATTCACCGCTGATCATCCCTGCCATGATCCTGGTTGTATCTGTAACCAGAGGACTGCTGGTGTCCACCACGTGGCCCGTGACTCCACGACCCCGGGTTGCTTCCATTATTGTTGCCTTGGAAGTTCTGATAACCTCGGCGGTTGTTCCAGTTATTATTGTACCCACTATTGTGCTGTCCGTAACCTCTAGGGTTGTATCCATTCCAGTTATTCTGGTTGTACATTCTTGGCTGGTAACCGTACGTCGTCCCTCTTTTTTTTGTTGTTGTTCCGCGTTGTTTTTTTTTTTTTTAGTTCCAAGAAAAATCATATCACATCGAGTGCATAGTGACACAAAATCCACATCACAATTTCCGAAAGGATTCTCCAAAACTTATAATGCTGAGCCCGAAGAATACCCAGCATTGCTCATTTCCACGGAAACACATTTGCTCGTGAGTTAAATAATTGGTACACAGATTCTTTACAGATCTTTCTCCAGTTGTTTCGAATTCAACTTTCGGGATAATCCGTATTTTTCCGGACCAATCAATGCATCGTAACAGCAGACGATACAGTGAGGACTCATTTTGTCTACAGAAAAGAGCCAATAGTTGTTCAATCAATCAAACACTACCGAAGTCGGCAGTTTTGAAACACTTATTCAAATAAACTTACTCTATCTAATGAATGGAAATACAGCGTAAAATCTCGTTATAACGAAAAATAATTCTTACAACGAATTTGTTTTTCTGGTCCCCAGCCATTAGCCCCCAGGTAATTTCAATTTTATTTTACAGAATTGTCGTTTACAACGAAGCTTTTCTCAAGGTCCCACACGCTTAGTTGTAACGCGATTCTACTGTATACCCTGTATATTCCCAAGAAACAATGAATGGAAATACCGAGATAATCTCTCTCGGACAATATTCACAATAAAAATATTGCTAAGCGAAGAGCTTTGGTGTATACAAGCCAAAGAGTAACCAATAATAATCTGCTGAGAGAATAAAAAATCCGTTGTACGGAGAATATAAATTCAAGCTACATTATTGCTGTAGAGAAAATCCGCCCGAATTTGTTCGGAAGGAACTGTAAACAGAACATTGTAGCTTATGTTATCGCATCTCATCAATCTTGCTATTTTTTTTATACAGATACCGTAAGCATGAGACATGACTCAAATATATGTCTGTAGTAAATTTTTCCTAAGAAACATTTCAACACGAAATTCGCCTCATTTATTTTAGAAGCACGGAAGATTTTTGCGTTTTCTTTCTCGACAGATATTGTAAATTAATTAATGGTAGACCGTCTCGCGGCAAGGAGGAGGAAAACGTATCTCTCAATAATCATGGCAAAATCCCCACTGAATCATCAATCAAACTTACCTCGAGCGGTTGTTGTAGCCCCGATTGTTGTTGTTATAGTACCCGCGGTTGTAGTTCCAGCTCCCGCCGCGGTTCGCTTGATATCCGCCATTTTGATTCGAGCCGGGATGGCTGCCATAGTTGCTGCGTTGCGAGTACGCCGAGCGATCGCGATCCCGATCCCGCGAGCGGGAATTGGACCTGGATCGGGAACGGGATCGGCGGTGGGTCCGAGAATTGCGGGAATCCCTCGGATCCCGACGAGACACATTTCGGTCCCTGGAATGTTCCCTCACGCTCCTACTGCTGGACCTCGAACTCGTACTCTTGATTGGATGACAAAAGAATCAGAATCACATTTCGGGTTCCATTATAACAAACGCACGGTGTGGATAGAGGATTGATCAGGTTCCGAGTGTAATAAAAAAATTCATGACAGAAAAAACCAAACACAATTTGCGGTTTCTAGTGATAATGTGTGTGAGTAGCGCGTCCGTTGTACTCGTGTGTGCTTTGAGGTCGTATTTGCGCATTTTTCAGCTTCTTAGCATTTTTTCCAGGCCATAATACGAACCCCTCGCATAATAAGCGTTTTTCAGGTATAAACTAAATTTTTTATACTGTACATCAGAATTTCGCGACAAAGAGCCTCGTTATAACGATTGAATGTCAACAATGAATTGTTCTTCATTGCCCATCAACCAAAATGCTATTTTAATTAATTTTGAACGAATTTTCGTCTATAACGAAACTTTTTTCAAGGTCACCAACGCTTTACTGCAAGAGATTCCACTGTAGCTATCAAAATGAAGACTTGCAAAATATTTCAAATTTTTATTCTACTCTTTTAGTTGATGATCAAACATTGGAACATTGGTCAGGACCTGCTCAAATTTTACTCAGAACAAATCTCTCTCTCTATGTACAGTACATGAAAAAAATTTCAAGTGAGAAACAGAAAATTTTAAAGAAGTGTGAGATAGTTCATGAGATGAATTCTCTGTTATCATAACGAGGATGTTGTATTGATTTGAATAAGTGTTCCCTGTAAAATTTGAATCCTTCATGTACAATCTAATAAAAACGTATTTCGGGGCAGTGAAAACCGTATTCAAGCAAGTACGACACTCACCCCAGTTAATTTTTTTTCACTAACTTAATCCAATGGAATTCAATTTTCTTTTAAATCTATACATTTGTGATTTCAGTTTCCAGTTCTTTTAAAACTTCAAATATTGTGATTTTACTATGACGAACACTAAAATATTTTTTTTAATTGACAGGAAAAATAGTAGCCCAATTATTGGTCCGAATTTCTGAATTAAAAAAAAAAAGATGCGCGTGGTACTCGGGTAAATACGGCATCTTTGAAGGCTTGTTTCAAGGTACTTTCAAGAAATTTTCGAAAAAAATACGGAAAACAGCAGAAGATCACCAACCATTCTTTCAGATCGAGACGAAGTTCGAATTTCGCCGTCTTCAGTTCTTCGAGATCTGTAACTAGATGCCCTGGAATCATCGCGTTTCGGTGATCGCGACCGTCTCTCAGTTCTCTTGTCTTCATCACCTCCATCCATTTTTCCTCGCTTCATGTCTGAAAACAAGAATGATGCAAAAAAAATTGGAGCACGTCAACCGTTTCGAAAGACACTTCGAAAAAATTTCACGGACAAAAAGTGAAAAGCAGTGAAATTTGTAAATTTGAGTGCAAGGAAAGCCCGGTATTAATTGCCGGAAATTGTTTGCCTCGGCTAAGAAAAACCC